TGTCAACACTTACCTTGTTTAATTGACTTGGTTTAATCTAATAAGCGAAATTACTACGATACTTTTGTATGTTAGTTAACTCTGATGGACACCGGCTAAAATATATTGTTTGCACTACTTGTCAATATGCCAAACTTCTCAAATTATCTCAACCACTCACGACAATTGATTTAAAAACACTGAACACCTGAAAAGTATACTCAAAATCTGAACTGCTTGCTGGGCTGAAATCAGCCGATGTCCGCAGAAAACGAAAAACACAAACAAAACCTAAATGGATTGAGAATTAAAAGCAGCAAAACTAATAATGTCTCTGATAAAACTGACTACACACAATCAATACTTCCTAGGGTTGCATTTGGAAAGAACCAAAACTTTGGTTTTAATAATAAATTGTATTAAACGGTTTTCTGTTACTTCGATTATGTGGAGTTCGCTTACGTTCATTTTTTAATTAGACATAGTAAAACTAAAATATTGTAGCCCGTTATGGTGTTAACACCAAAGTCCGAAATTTTATCAAAAAATCAGTAAGAAATACTATATTCGGGTGCATCGGCAGATTAATAATTTTAAATTGTACAGAGTGTTTTTATAAAAAAAGTAATTAAACGTGTTTAATAATACGAAATTAGAACCGCCTGTCACAAACCGCTGTCAATTTTTACTATAAAATTATTTATGTCTGTATATTTTGTTTGATGTCTAAAATAATTTAGTTTGATTATTATATCTACTTCTTTATATTATGTATCAAAATCATTATATTAGGTATATTAACTAGGGCCAAATGAAAAATATTTTAGCTATCATTATATCATAAAATTAACCAAAATAACTTGCTTGATATATTCGGTATAAAGTTAAACCATAATACCGAATCATTATATTATTAATATTTAGTTTTTGTGGATTGGGGAAGTCAGGCTTGGATTTATACAAATTTACGTATATTTATACTCTGAACCGGGTATATTAAGTTTGCCACGAAGTTTGTAACACCGAGAAGCAAACGTCGGAGACCCTATAAAATATCAGCATGACGGGCTGAGTGGATTTAACCATGTCCGTCTGTCTGTCCTTGTATCTGAAATTTTGCACATGTAATTTTTTCCCTAAGAATCTGCTCATTTGTCGCAACCGCTCATATCGGATCACTATAGCATATAGCTGCCATACAAATTGAATGATCGGAATCAAGTGCTTGTATGGAAAACTTTTTCATTTGAAGAGATATCTTCAAGAAATTTGACATGAATTATTGCCTAAAACAATGGTTCACTCTGCGAAGAAATTGTTAAGATCAGATCGCTTAGCCTATAGCTGCCATGCACACTGAACGATCGGAATCAAATTCTTGTATTTAAAACCTTTGATGAGATATCTTCAAGAAATTGGCATAGATTATTGCCTAAGGCAATGGAGCAATCTCCCTAGAAATTGTTCAGATCAGATTACAGCGTATTGCTAATATACAAACTGACCGATCAAAAGTTCTTGTTAGGGAGCTTTTGTATTTGTGAAGGGTATTACAACTTTGATGCAACCAAAGAGAACGTTTTTTCTTGGTTTGGCATGAAGTTAATTGGATGCACAAAGAACCTTATGTACTTAGTTGTGAGAGTACCTAGTTGTGTCAAGTTTTGTTTCGAAATCTTAACTAATGCTTAATTTTTTTTATTGAAAAACACAAGTATCGAGGTTGCAACCTGTGGGGAATTCCCCAAACTGCATGGAAAGCTGAGCTGATAGGGGAAGGTATGGAAGAGCTTCAATTCGAGGAAAGCACGGGGATGTCATCCTTGACGGGGATTTAAGTATGAACAGAAAACGTAGAAAAACGAGAAAGAACAAACAGAGAACGTAAAGGAACGAGAAGGTGCAGGCAGAGAACGTAAATAAACTCTCTCTGATTATATATATTTCTGATTCTTTTTCTTCAGAGAAGGTGGCGAATGTCAATGAGGATGAAAACAAAGTTTAAATAATAAAAATTAAATTAAATTATTGAGTAGTACTGAATGTCTCCCATTCTTTAATTACTATACTTGAAATTATTATTATTATTATTAAAATAAATAAATTTAAGTAAATCTTTTTAACACATTTATTACTTTTCAATTAAAGAATAAATAAAATAAATTTATCATCCTATCAAAAACACAACAGTTAGGTGCTGCTGTAAATGGAGAAAATACTATCCACTCCACTGAACAGTCACTGCATAATCACAACAAAGCGAACTGTCAAAAAGTCGATTAACATCCGGTTGCGTTGTGGTCTTCCTTTCCTTTTCACGTATTTTGACAAGATGGTAGGTGGTGTAAAAGTTGCCGGGGAAATTCACTGCCATCGTACGTTTTAAATATAATAATTTATTGAATAATTTACAAAGTGTTGCTGAATATTCTGCTCGGATGTATATGTTAATATTTCGAAGTTTAATCTACTAGTTCGTGCAGTTAACCAATAGTTTGTTGTCGCTATTTGTTGTTTGATACTCGAGTAAAATAGCGAACAATCGGTTCTTTGGTAGTGAAAATCGCGACTGGCTAATCTTTATATTTAAAAGGATAGTAAGGTGTGACAATGTATCAGTGTGTTTTGATTACAGGCGCGAGGTCCCAAGAAGCATTTGAAGCGTTTAGCAGCACCCAAGGCATGGATGTTGGACAAATTGGGAGGAGTGTTTGCTCCTCGTCCCTCCAGTGGCCCACACAAATTGCGAGAGTCATTGCCCTTGATGATTTTCTTGAGAAATCGTCTAAAGTATGCGCTGAATGGTGCTGAGGTGACCAAAATTGTTATGCAGCGTCTGATCAAGGTTGACGGTAAAGTTCGTACCGATCCAACATATCCAGCTGGTTTCATGGGTAATGCTTCTCATATCGTTGGTGTAGAATATATCGCATATCAATATATTGAAATCTTTTATTACAGATGTCATAACCATTGAAAAAACTGGTGAATTCTTCCGTTTGGTTTACGACGTTAAGGGCCGCTTCACCATTCATCGTATTTCTGCCGAGGAAGCCAAGGTATGTTTCGTACTTATTGTGTTAGTAATAAATAAAAAAATAAAAATAAATTGGCTTGATCGAAGACCATTTAGTTATGATTCCAAACATATATGTGGTTCAAAAGTAAGCCAAAAGCAATTTTTGTTACGACGGTCACTGAATGTCTTGATTTTTGTGATACTTTGGTAACACTTACGTGCAATTACAAAATTACTCAATGAACTATGAAGAATCATGTTACTTCTAAAAACATTTGAAATAAATCCTTTTTTTTTTTTTGTTTTTACTTATCCCTACAGTACAAATTGTGCAAAGTCAGGAAGACACAACTTGGTGCCAAGGGTGTTCCATTCGTGGTTACACACGACGGCCGTACCATCCGTTATCCCGATCCTCTCATCAAGGCGAACGATACTGTCCAGGTAGACATTGCCACCGGCAAAATCACCGACTACATCAAATTCGACTCAGGTAAATACCATGTTCTATATCAATTAAAAGACCGGTGGATTCATATGCTGACTTTTTCAGGAAACCTCTGCATGATCACTGGAGGTAGAAATTTGGGTCGTGTCGGTACCGTTGTTAACCGTGAAAGACATCCTGGTTCCTTCGATATCGTTCACGTAAAGGACTCGCAAGGACATGTGTTTGCCACCAGATTAACAAATGTTTTCATCATCGGCAAGGGCAACAAACCCTACATTTCATTGCCTAAGGGCAAGGGTGTTAAATTGAGCATTGCTGAGGAACGCGACAAGCGTTTAGCTGCTAAAACTCATTAAGTAGTTATTTAAGACCGGTTTCTAATTTAACGAAAAATGGAAAATTAACAATAAATAGAAATCACTAGAATAACTCGGAAAACTGCAAATATTATATATATAGACATTTGAATAAGTTAATTATTCTAGGTGTAGATAAGCTATACTTTTCTTGATGTAGTAAAAGCCTGCTGACTACGAGAACGCCGCGACTGACCGAATATACATATATACGTATGTGTATGTGGCATTAGTCTAGCGGTTAGACTCTAGGCGGAAACAGATACAGGAAGATGAAGACATTTTGCTGCAATTATTTGCTGTTGCCAAAAATTTAATTTTTTTTTAATTAAAAAGAATGGACGCTTGTTAAAAAAAGGTTACAAATATACGCCAAAAGGCCAAAACAAGTGAAAAGTTTTGTCAGCCCAAAACGGATTTTTATATCAATAGAGATGTTTCGCCTCGCCCTTTTCGATTTTCATCCAACGTACAGAAAGTTGATCTAACGAAATCGCTTACTGCAAAACCTGGAAGAACACAGTATCCTAGGGAATATTCAAGCAGTGACGCTACATGCTTCCTGATAAGGAGCATAGTGATCTCTCCAGGCAAGTTAATTTTAGGACAGATATAACATTACCCACCTTATTGGTTTTCTCCTTGGATCCTGAACTTACTGTTTGCTGCATGGTGACATTTATCGTTTTACCTACTAAACCTACAATATCAACTAAAATTACTGTCTAACCTTAAAATATCTTAAGAAAGTGATCTTTAGGTTTTTTTCGGAGCCTGTATCGCTGCCTAGCTGCCAATCGATGCTAAATTTAATTAAGACATCTCAAATAAAAAAGCTTTCCGTACAAGAACTGGGTTTTGATCGGTCAGTTTATATGACAGCTATATCCTATAGTGGTCCGATAGCGGCAGTTCCGACAAATGAGCAGCTTCTTGGGGAGAAGAGGCTCTATGTAAAATTTCAGATATATATCTCAAAATTAAAGGGCTAGTTCGCATATATACATACGAACATTGCTGAATCGACTCAGCTTGTCACGCTGATGATTTAAATACCATATACATATATACATACATACCACATATATAATATATATGCTGGTGTCCGGCGTTTTCTTCTGGATGTTACAAACTTCCTGACAAACTTAATACATATACATTCTACAGGGTGTAATAAGACAAAATTCAAAAAATGTTTTTTTTTTTATTTTAAATATCTTTTTCGTAATTTCTAGAAAAAGAACATTCGAAACATCGTTTTAAAAAATCCCCAATAATTTTCAGCAAATTTAAACTAGAAAACTGTGTCTTGACAAAATTCCAGATATAAGAAAAAACATTACATTTTACACTTATACGTATTTATTTTATTATTTACAACGATCTTTATCAGCTGAAAAATGGAGGGTCTTGTATTATTTGTGAAAAGTCGGGATTCGTCAATATAAAAAAAGTTATTTAAAAAATATTTACATACATACATATGTAATAAAGAGTAAATCTCTAACTGCTGGGATGATGCCACGCTATTCATACATACAAAGATATGTGCATAACTAAAATAGAAACACTTTAATTAAATTCATTTTCGATTTTTCATTTGTTTTTTAAATACACAAAATAAAAATGGTGGCAAATTATGTCATAAAGTCTTGGACCAAACTTGATGTCTAGATATTATTTTGGGGGGTTCGGATTACATAACACGACTAAAGCGCAAAGTATAAAATGGCGATAAATATCTGGTTTTATATATGTACATATGTAATGAATATGTAAATGCTATGCGTTGTAAAGTCCTTTCGTATTTCCTTTAAACTAACTACAAATACGTAAAAGATGATACAAAATGATGATGAGTGTATTTAACTAAATTTCATTCATTTATCTTAACAATTATTCACGATTTCGGTGAACTCCGTTTTGTGACTAATTTTCCGGAATCTCGACTATTAATGACTTCAGCATGGAATCCTGTCTCCCAATCGGCATAGTATTTGACTGTACGAACATTGCCATCGGGTTCCACTAGAGAGTATTCACCTTTTACAACATCACCGTCACGCTCTTCCTTTTGATGTTTGATATCGCCGGTATAAGGATCGTTGACACCATACTCGAAGGCATATCTTGCATGGTCACTCTGTAAAATTTATGAAAAAGCTGGTATTGTATTACAAAATCTATATATTTTCTCACTGTACACACATAATGTTCGTAGTGCTTTTCTGGAATCGTTTTAATAACAGCTGGTTGTATTTTGAGTGTCGGTTGAGCTTTTAAATACGCTGTAGGACTGGCGCTCTGCGCCAATAGAGGCGATACTGATGGTGCATATCTGTAGAGTCCACCGCCTAACGGTCCAATGCCGCCAATTCCATGTGAATAACCGTTAAGTAATTCTCCTTCGCCCTTTAAAAGCGGCAACGCTGGTTGGTTTTCTAATTTCAATGTTGAAATACCTAAATTGCCCCCGAGTCCATGCAAAGCACTTTGTCCCGAACCATCTAGTTTCAAAATTGGTGATAGACCGCTGTGTCCTAAAGCGATTGCTCCATAGTATGCACCATGTGCTATGGGAGCGGTGGAATAGCCAACTGATGAATAGAAATACTTATTAATTTATTGTCGAAAACGGCTTACTTTAAATTTTTTTCTTGAAACACATTCTGAGTTTGCCGATCTTGCACACATCCATTGATACATATATTGCAAACAAAAAAATAATATTAAGAATAAAAAGGGAAGGTCAGTACCATTGTATAAGGTAGGTTTATACAATGGTACTGACCTTCCCTTTTAAAAGCACTATTAGCGGTTTGGATGTTTAATATGATTGCCGTGTGAAAATTCGTTTTCGTAATTGTATACGAAACTATAAGCGTAGGGTGTTTCTGATTTTAAATTGAATAATTCGACTTGATTTAATGATAATAAGCCTTCATATAACGTTACATTTTCAGCCCATCACAAATCTACCAAGGCAATTGATTTTGATTCCATATGGCTTGCCTCGCCAAGGCTAGAACTTCTGTAACTAGACGAGCCTTAGAGCAAGAAGTTCGCTGGACCTTTTGTCCATTTAAGTAATCTTATAATTTTAACTTCATCGAAATGTCGCTTTTGTTTACTAATACTTTAAGTACTTCTTTTCGGTCGTGTGTGACTAATTTGTTCTGATTTTTAATCCATTGCTCATCAATGATCAATCAACTAAAAATAACCATTTGAATATGCAATACTAAGCTATTTTCGGATCTGAGATTTATTAGAACGATTAATAATGATAATTCTCCCCCAATAGTAGTTTATAGATAAAAGATTTGAAGAGACTAAGTCAAACAATCTGAAAGGTCATCAATAATATGCTTGGCTATATATAGTTAGTTCGAAGGTTTTTACTATATGTATAAAAATTTATAAAAGGTACATTTACAAATATTAGAAAGAAACTCGGAAATGTTGTTCAAACACGTAAGAGTTGTTTGCATAAATAATAAAGCATTTGGATTATATTTGGAAATATTACTAAATTAGCATATACATCACCCTTTTATTTTTCAAACAGGATTTATTAATTCTGTTAGTAGGATAATAAAGGATTATAACAGATTGTTTAGGTTTGCGGTTTTCATTTTTAGGTCACGGTCACCGGTTTAACAAATATAAGCAAGGATAATCGGCAGGATAATCAAATACATTTTATATTATTACTTGAGGTAAGCGGTGCTGAAGCGGAATAACTGTAACTAGATTTGCCAGAAAGCGGATGTGCCAAACTGGTTGCGATTGGAATTTGTGGCTGGTGTAGGATTGCGCCATTGGATAAATATTTACCCAAACCCAAACTGCCCGGTGAAGTTAGGGTTGTATATCCAGCTATACCTGATTTGGAAGATATACCAGAGTATTGAGTAGATATCACATCGCTTGTGGATAATCCACCTAAGCCAGCATTTGTTTGGATCGTTGATGATAAGGCAGGTGCGGCATAAGTTGCTACTTTTGCTACCGCAGGACTAGTTACCACTGCTGCGGCGGCGGGTGCTGTGTATGCGTTAATGTTGCCTATCGTGACGCTAGACCCCGATTGTAGAATGGGTTGTCTGGAGACGTATTGTTGTGAAAATGAACCGCTGGAGCCATATTTTGCAAAACCAGTACTTGATTGGATAGAGGTTACGCCTGGAGCTGGATATGCAGACGTTTTTGTTATACCGAGTGCAGGCGGGAGATAACCTTTAGCTGGGGTTGTCAATGTTGCAGCTTGTGTGGCGAACAGTAAAGACTGTGCCGGCTTTGAAACTTGTTGGTGTGAGATAGCGCCTCCACTAGCATAGTTTATAGATTGTAAACCCGACTGTATCGATTTAATAGAAGGATTGGTAAGCTGTATGGTTGCAGCTGAGGGAGCTGTACCATAGCTGTAGCCAGCTTGTGAAACTCCTAATCCAGAAGAATATTGTGTAATTGCAGGTGCAGCGTAAACGCCTACTTTTGCAACAGAGGGAACAGGAACTGCTGCCACTTTTGCCACAGGTGGAGATCCATAACTTACGACTGGTTTCGATACGTACTGGTGAGAAACTGCGCCACCACTTTCATATTTGACGGACTGTGAACCTGAACCTGAAACAGCCCCACTTATTATACCGAGACCGGAAGAATATTGCGTGGTCGTAGGGGCGCTGTAGACTCCCACCTTTGCAACGGTTGGTATAGCAATGGCAGGAGCAGCGACTGTCGCTACTTTCGTCACAGGTGTTGACGCATAACCTACAGTTTTCACGGGCTGGGATACGTACTGATGTGAAACTGCACCACCACTTGAGTATTTCACTGACTGTAATCCCGAATGTACAGACGTTAGGCCTGAGCCCGAAGTGTATTGGGTGAGAGCTGGCGTTACAATAGGTGCCTGGGCGGCGATTTTAGTTATTGCTGGGCTCGCATATGTCAGTGGTTGTAGGGGCTTGGAAATATGTTGATGTGAAATAGCTCCACTTGAGATACCGAGACCTGAAGAATATTGCGGAGTCGCAGGTGCGGCGTAGATTCCAACCTTTGAAACGGTGGGTATAGCAGGTGCGGACGCATAACTCACTGTTTGAACTGGCTTGGATATATACTGATGTGATACTGCACCACCACTTGCATATTTTACTGACTGTGATCCTAACTGTAAAGAAGTTAAGCCCGATCCGGAAGGGTATTGGGTGAGAGTCGACGTTACAACAGGTGTCACGGCAGCAACTTTAGTTAGCGATGGAGCTGAATATGTCGATACATGCTGCTGTGATATAGCTCCTCCTGAGTGAATGGAAGAACTGGCTGGAATCGTAGCGTAGGTACCATGTTGGGAAATTGAACCACTGCTTCCATATTTAATGGACTGTAAACCGGAATTTATTGATGTTAGGCCAGAGCCCGATGGGTATTGGGCCACAATAGGAGTAACAGGTGACGTCTCAACGGCAACCTTAGCAATATCAGGAGCTGAATAGGTTAATGGTTGAATGGGTTTCGAAACGTACTGATGTGAAAGAGCACCGCTTGATACGCCATGTCCTGATGAATACTGCGTAACTGCAGGAGTCGCATAAGTGGCTACTTTAGCTATTGCTGGAGCGGCAAGCGTAGGTACTTTTGCAATTGGAGCAGGCGCATAGCTCACTGTCTGCAATGGTTTGGACACGTACTGATGTGAAACAGCGCCACCACCTTCGTATTTGACCGATGAACCCGTGTGTACTGAAGCTAATCCAGAGCCTGAAGCATATTGTGTTAAGACAGGTGTTACAACTGGTGCCGCTGCAGATATCTTAGTTATTGAAGGAGCTGAATAAGTAACTGATTGTAGAGGCTTAGAAACATACTGGTGCGATATAGCACCAGATGAACCGTAAGAAGCATAATTGCCATCGCTAACAGATGTTACAGCTGGAGTTGCATAGTCTATAGATTTAGATAAGCCTAGACCAGAAGTATATTGAGTAAGAGAGGGGACTGGAACCGCTACCGGCGCTACTTTAGTTACTGGCGTTGCGACGTAATTTACAGTATTCAAAGGCTTCGAAACGTATTGGTGCGAAACCGCACCACTGTTTTCATACTTGACAGATTGAGCGCCCGTAGGAATAGAAGTTAGTGTGTTGGGTGTTGCAGGTGCGGTATAAGTTAATGTTTGCGCAGTCGAGATTTTAGCAATTGGTGCAGCATAACTCACAGTCTGTACTGGTTTCGAGACATACTGATGCGAAACTGCGCCACCACCGGAATATTTTACAGATTGTGATCCTGAATGTATAGATGATAAGCCGGAGCCTGTTGAGTATTGTGTAACAGCCGCTGTAACGACTGGTGGCACCACTGCTGCTTTTGAGATCGCCGGAGCTGAGTAAATAAGGGGCTGTAAAGGCTTAGAAACGTGCTGATGAGAAATTGCACCACTAGAAATTCCATGGCCTGAAGTATATTGTGTAATAGTAGAAGCTCCATAACCGCCAAGTTTAGAAATTCCAATTCCAGAGGAATATTTTGTTAGTGCGGGTGCAGCATAAGCTTCGACTTTTGATACAGCTGGGATAGCAACAGTTGGTACTTTTGCTATAGGTACGGACTGGTAGCTTACTGTTTGCAACGGTTTTGAAACATATTGGTGCGAAACTGCACCACTACTAGCATACTTTACAGATTGTAGAGGCTTTGAAAGAATACTGCTGCCAATGTTTAGAGAAGCACCAGCGGTGGGATATTGTGCAATAGCTGGTGCGCCTATGCCTGTTAAATAGGATGTAGATTGCACTGGTTGTGAGATCTGTTGATGCGAATAGGCTCCACTTGTTCCGTACTTTGAGTAACCGGCGCTAGAGAGAACTGCAGGTGCGACATAAGATTGCACTTTGGAGACTGCTGGCGCTACAACTGTAGAGATTTTGGGTAAAGCCGGAAGGCCGACGCTAATTTGTTGAATAGGTTTCGAAACATACTGGTGAGAAATCCCACCACCCGACGCGTAACCTGCGTACTGTGAAGCTGGTGCTGTTGAAATATATGTGCTTGCAAGATTCGGCGCGTACGAGTAAGAGCCAAGTGGAGTGGACGTTTTTTCGGCCAACAAGTTACCCTCCAATTTCGATAATGATACCGAGGCTAACGTATTTCCTAACTTTTGTGTGTATGGAACGCTATAGGATATTGCAGGTGCATACGAGCTTATGTGCCCAGTCTGTAGTGGATTAACATATGCTGTGGTTTTCGAAATTGTTGGGCTGGATTGATAGTAAGAATACCCGGATGACTCATATTCAGCACCCTTTGAAATAGTTGGCGTAGACAAACTTTGTAATTGTATATTAGGTAATGTGGCATAAGATTTTGATAATCCCGGTGAAGTGAATGCAAGTTTTGGCACGATATTAGCGGCTGGCGGTAAATATGCGTTAGAGATCCTTTCCACCTTGGGTGGTAGAAGAACGGTTTTTGAAATAGCAATTTCGGGTTGTAAAATACCCGCCGTTTTGAGAGGTTGGTCAGCATATGTAATACCGCCCTCTTTTATTGCTGCATTTGTTGATATTTGTAGTAGTTTTCCACCAACTCCACTCTCATAATATGATTCGGATGATTTTATCGTATCAACATTGAGATATCCATCATCTGATTGACTTGATAATTTATATTTAGCTCTTGCAGGAGTCACCGAAAGTTGGACTTTTGGTGGTGGATAAGCATAACCATCAGATGCAGCGAGTATGCAATCTGGAATCGCAATTGGTTTTGTACTAGCCCACACTGTGCTACAAAGGCACAATAATGCCAATGGTACCTGAAAGTGAAAATAAAAAATATCAAAGTATTAGTGCGAATCGCTAAAAACAATAAATTATTAGCGAAATTTAACAAAACATTTAATGCCATTCGTGACCAAAATTTTAGTCGGTTGTAACTTAAATAGATGATTTTAGATTACACACTTTTAGTCTTTCTATTTTATATATACACAACTAGAAATATCTTGGGGCCTTCATAAAGGCCTAAAAATAAAAAATAAAACAAATTTACTTAAAAATAGTCGAACTTCAACCGTTAATATCCTTAAGACGGTTATGGTTTACGAGCAGTTCAAGCAGCTGGAAACGAGATATGAATTTTTCTATCTAATAATAAGAAAAAAAAAGAAAAGCGTATCTTTCTTAGAGGTCTCCAAGTTTTCAGAGTACAAAGCGAAAAATAAGTCGTTTTTTTTGACGCACCCTAATATACATAGGTATCAGCGTGACGAGCTGAGTCGATTTAGTCATGTTCGTTCTGTCGTCGTCTGTATAGTTAAACTAGTCACTTAGTTTTAAGGTATCGATCAGAAATTTTGCAAACGTCCTTTTCTTTCCAACAAGCTCCTCATTTGTCGGTACCGCCGATATCGAACAACTATAGGGTATAGCTTCTGTTCTTAAAAGATATTTTTCCTTATTAAGTAACCTTAATTTAACTTGAAGATTTTTATATCAAACAACTTGGCTAGAAAGAACTAGCAAAAACTTTCCCGTTATATGCAAACCAATCGTCGCTTCTGTTTTCAGATTTAGTTATACATATAGTTGCTATAGGAAATTTTACCTGTGAAAGGTGTTACAGATTCGGTGTATCCGAAGTTAACATTTTTTCTTGTTTTTCTTACATTTTTTGTACTAATTTTCAACATTGGTCTTCTTTATCTTTGTTATTTTAGGTAAAGTTCCGTTGGTTTCTTGATCTTGTATTTTTCGGAACCCTTTCTGTTTCTACGTTGGTTACTTTATCGATGAGCAGAACGTCTTAAGGGTTTTGTGGCGGGTTATGGGTTTTACGACATGTGATCTAATATTAAGCAAAAAATAAAATTAAGAAAAACACCCTTGCTTGTCATTTAACCGAAATTTTACTTTTATTGTGTCTGTTTTACGTACATTATGAAGTAAATAAATTAAGTGGCCTTGCATTCCTTTAATCAGTAAAGGAAATTGAAAAGCAATCATGTTTAAGGAGGCTTCAATAAGAGTTCTCCATATTTATAGGACATGACATCCTCATAATCTTCTTTCGAACATTCTATTTCTCATTGGATTCTAAAATTTTGGACAAGCCGTTCATTTCAATGGGAGCTACAAATTCTTATTGTTTTTGAGATAGTTTTGTACCTTTAAATTTACACGTAGTAAGCGTAATTATTATTTTATATAATTTATGCGAACCTTTCTCTAAGCAAACAAATTTATGGGATACTTCTTACGTGGGAAGTAAATGAGAAGGTTTTTCGAAAAAAATCTTTGTATAGTACATTAGATTCATACTCAAATAAGTATTTGCAATTGTTAATTTCAAAATCAACATTTTGATGGCACAGTTCAGATCACACTTCACGAAATATTCCTACACAAATTAGATCATCACGCATCCTTCAGAATAATTAACAGTTTCATTGAATGCTGCAGTTATTCGTTATTGCACTGAAATTTATAGAATTTACACTTCCATTTATGGCTCCGACTAGCTTACACAATTTCTACAAATCTTACTCGTTCATATATATGTACGTAGGTATATGTTTGGCGGATAACACCTTGCTTGTTCATTTTGCTTATAAGCACTCACCTTCATGCCTTGTTCTCTTGATAATTTCTTAATTACAAACTGTTAATAATATAAATTGTTTTGCGAAGTCTTCGATTTCACTACATATTAATAAGGTCCTTATCGCTTTGGACAGCCACTGGCAATAGATCACTTAATTCAATCCTTTTTATATGTACACACACACATATCCAATGATAGAATTGTTGATTTTGTCGCGGGCGCGCGTATCCTTTATAATGGGCGTTAACGGTATTATTTGCGCTCCAACGAACTGAAGCGTCGCGAAACACTACCAGCTAGCCAGGCCCTATTGTCGTTTATATACGGTCAATGTGGACACCAAACGTTCACAGCATCAGCGACGGCGGCTGCAGTGGCAACAAAAATTGGCTACACATCCAAAAAGGCTGTGACAAGCAGCTCGAGATTGTACACACGCGCACACATATACACATCCATGCACTCATATAATGGCATGAATCAAAATTATGAATTCGCAAAAAGGCGAAGCATGCGCCAAAACGCTTTTCAAACAAAACAAACAGAACAACTACAATTGGTGCGTCTATTACTATTGGCTGCGCCGACGCAATGCACTTTGCAGTTTTTAGTTTGTTTATTGGCGTTGCCGTTTGATACATTTTGGTTTTTGTTCTCTGCCTAGATGGGTATGTATGTATGTCCATATGTACAAGTATGTAGTATATATGTTTGAAAAAAACGAGTGCACGATTTTTCGGCAACCGAGCATGCGTAGCTGCTGCGCCGATACGGGTGCGTTGAGTTGCGTAGCTTTTTCTTGCTTTTATTGTTTTTACTCTTGCTGGCAAGTTTCAGCTTTTCGCTTCTGAACGCAGGCCCCACCTTCACCAACACTGATTTACTGATGTACATTATGAACGCGTCAGTACGTATGTATACTATCTGCACTATTGAGTATGTAATGTGCATAAAATATGTACTTGTATAGCAGTATGTTGATGTTTGTGCATTTGTGTGTATTTGGGTCTATGTGTTCTTTTATAATTTCTTGGAGCGTTTTCTTACACAAAGCTAATTAAAAAATTGTCAATGACACAAATAATGCATAATTTAGATACATCAAATATGATGGCATGCTAAAAAGTGATCAACATATATTATACATATCATACCTGTACTTTATTTATGGATATTTAAATTTTATGCTATATTTGCATTTAATATATCAATGTATGTACATACATATGAAGGGTTAGCTAATAAGGAAATTACATTAAAATTTGTTTTCCTTTTACATTCATTACTACATATTTATTATAACATGGAGCTTGCATATATTAAAAAAATAATATTTTTGATACATGATTATATCCATTTTTCATTAGTTCTCATTGAAAACCTGTGTCCAATACAATTAAGCTCATAAGCACAACAAAAACAAGGAGGCAGCTAAAACACGTTGATTCTTACACTCTCCAGACGGAGGATAGTGTAGTCCACTTAATCTAACGTTTAAATGTTTTACAAAATTTCTTAGGCATTACATATTGTAGTTCTCATTCACTTACTTCTTAATAATAATGTACATATATAAGTATAAGCTTCTTTCCGAATCAAATAGTACTAATTGTAAGCTCAATTAACCTAAAACAGATCAATAGAGAAAGGTTCGGAGGAATGCTGCCGAGTTGATAGTCCATGACCGAGTTAAAATTCAGATTCGTTCCGGTTACAGAGACCCGGCTGCCATGGGAACGGCCTCAGCCGTTGTCGCACACTTCAATATAACATACTTACGTATATCTGTCATAGAATCAGTAAACTGCTGATCGGCTGTTAGGGAAAATAATTGCTCGTTTCCGAGTTGTTTGAATTGAGCGACGTTCATTAGGGATGGTGTTAAATTACAAATAATTTTTTTGTCGTGAAAAGCGGCTAATAAAACTCCGTTAAACCTTTGGATCCGGCTCAAAATTTTGAATATAAATTAGGTTGCTATCCGAAATTCGACCACCATTTACTTAAGAACAGCCTAGTTGTATAAATACCATTGCTTGAAAAAAATGGACATGTACTCGAAACCCATGATATGTCTTGAAGTATCAGCTATACCTTATTATATTGTGCGAGTGTATACCTTATTACATAGTAAAGGCTCGTGAATGCTGGAAACTAATTTGTAATGACGTCACATTAGCGAGTCTTCTTAAAGAGCTGAAATTGATTGTCTAGCAGCTGTTTTTATTGCTCCTAATTTTTTTACTGTAACGGGATAGGTCAGGCACCGACCAACTTCTGTACTTATTCGTACCCACATAACATCTACCCTCCGGTTATCAAGTCTAACTGGTTATTTATTTCTATGTAGCCTATAGCTTATCATTCTGTGTAATTGAAATTTTCCAAAACCTAGCAATTTATTTAAGTGCGAAAGCTGGAATATTTTCACTTATGCTATAGCGGTGTGTTATCTTTTTGGGATAATAAAATTTATATATGCAAGTTTAAATATTGCTTCATATAAATCTACGTACATATGAACTTATGATCTCATGGCTTAATTACGCACACACACACACCTCGATAGCCACAACTTCACACTCGCTTGTTGGCATGTGTACAAGTGTGCTTGCGTTACGAATTTACTGCTATAAATTTCAAAAAAAAAAAAACATTATACTAATCCGAAATTTCGTCATGCAAATCGATATGAATATGTAATTTGGCGTTGGTCTGCTTTTTACACTTGCATGTGTGAGTGCATGGAGCTATAAAGTACGGTACCGCAGGCAGTTCATAGTCTTATGTAATGAGAGATGCAGTTTTTCTCCTATTTCGCATACGCATTCACAGTGGAAGGCACAGGCGCAGGCGCGTATGCGTGCTTGTGTCAACTGAACCACGCCAAGGCATGTTATACTGCGTGCTAAAGCCAGCAGCACTAAGCCAAATGGCATGTAAATCGAATTGAGTCGAAATGTACTGAACTGAAATGAACCGAACTGAACTAAACTTGTTCAAATTTAGGTTACACACGCTCTTATTTTAGTTTATTTTGATTCGAATGCAGAAATTAAAATTCAATCAAATTGCAAAACAACGCATTGCAGGACACTGAACTGCACTCCCAAGCCGAGCCAACACACGCGCAGCCATATCGTCATTTGTCGTAGGTAACGCAGAAATGTTTGACGGCGAAAAATGTATGAATCTGTCGTATCTGCATGACCGAATAGTTTAAGTTGTTGGGTGCTAACTATACAATACACACTCTCATACCTATATAGAATGCGTGTAAGTGAGTATGTTTTTATGTCTGTCTCGTTGTATGCAGGTCTACATTACGTAGTATATGCGTTTTTAATCTAAAGGAGCTGATCGCATTGGTCAACTGGTGCGGTGGTGAATTATAAAACGTGTTTATATTCAATTAACGTCTAAAATGAATAAGCAAATGAAATCGATGTTCAGTTCGTATTCAAAAGAAAAACTCATTTTTATTTAGACAATTTCTGAATATGTGTATCAGCGATGATTTAGACTGCGATGTGATGTGTGACCAAATCTGTTTCTAGGCAAGACATACATACTTACAACTACATATAAGTAGGTGCATGAATATGCAAATATAGTTGTATTTGCGTATTATTATATATTCTGCGATAAATATACTTGACCACGACATACCGCAGATTTCACTTCGTCTTTCCTTTCACTTATTCTACTACAGTATATACATATCTATGTATTTAACTTATCTCTTTGTGCAAATTAATGAAATAATCTTAGATAACTTATATATCTGTAAACTGAGTTCAAGTGACCAATATTCAATAATGTAATCCACAATCCACATTTTATATTTTCGCGGAAAAGTAGACCATAGGCCACTACCTTCAATAGTAGTTTTTAAGCTCCTGAAAACTTCAAGGAAGCATACAGCTATGGACAGAGACTTAGCGCACTTGCATTGATAATTAGAAATATTACTGTTACTTGTAAGGGAGCAATATTTTCATAAATTTATTATCAGTAGATCAATACTGTTTCACTCGCTTCTTTAAATGCGTAGGCAAATAACCATTATCATTTCCATTCAGATATTGTTCATTTGTTTTTGTTAAATTTTGTCATAAAATTTAAATAAAATGGCGAAAGGAAAATACTGTTCATTTGAAAAAAAAGAATTATTTGGCACCTTTACAAAAACGATACAAACCAAGTAAAACTTGCTAATATAGTGAAATGTTCCAGAAAAATGGTGTACAATGACATCAAAAATGTTAAGAGTGATCCATATCTGTTAACTCAAAACAAAATTCGTAAGGCGCCGCCTCGCAAAACAATCGCGAGGATAAAATAGTTGTCAGAAAAAGTGGTCAAAGTTTGGGCGTGTAAGCAGAAAAACCCGCTATTGTCGAAAAAGAGTATTAAAGCTCACTGACAGTCACAGATTAAAAGATTTAAATTTTTGAAAAAAGATACTTTTTACGGACCAAACTAAAATAAGCCGCATTGGTAATTATGGAAAAACCAAGAAATCAATCCAAGATATACTAAAAAGACCGTAAAGCACGGTGGAGGAAATTTAAAAGTTTGGTGGTCGTTTTCATAGCATGGTTGGCTAGTGCTCCAACTCCATGCCATGAAAAGATAGAAGGGAATATGCATAAAGTTGCATATCTTGATATACTAAGGAATACAATGGAATTTATGCAAAAACATACAAGCAAAAGTGCTAAAAAACTGGCTTACACAAGAAAAAATTTCACTTCTTGATTGGCCAGCGCAAATTCCAGATGTAAGCCCGATCGAGATTGAGAAAATAAGCAGTTTCTTAGGGATAAAAGGACTTAGAACTAGTTCGCGTGTATACAAACAGATGGACATGGCTAAATCGACAGAGCTCGTCACACGGATTATTTATATACATATATGTACAATATATATATAATATTATAGGGCAATTTATGTTTCCTTCTGGGTGTTACAAACTTCGTGGCAACTTTTATAAACATACCCTGTTAAGGATATACAAATTACTAAATAGTATGGTGTGTTAGCACAGTCTTACACAACTATACGTTGTGGTCATTTGAGAATAATGAGAGAGTTAATCCATTTACCAAATATTACTGCTGAATCTGTTGCGAGTTCTGAATATCAGATAAATATTAATGGAAAGGACAGTTAACGGTCATTCTGTGCTATCCCATATGAGGTGGACATACTTATAGTTATATCCTGTCTTACTATGTGTCTGTAAATATCGTTGAGACAGTGAACAAGGAAAACAATAAAAAATGTATTCCGATATTTTTCAGCTCTTCTTTCCAGGCTCA